TTTATTTCAACAAAGTAACTGTATTCTGAATACCACCTTTTTAAACGGTAACTGTAACGGAATACAGTTACTCATATTTTGTATTCTAAATACGTAACGGCGGTACATGTATTCCGTTACTCCCCAACACTGCTCATTGCACATTAAATATTAAACATGAAGGTTTTGTTGATTTACTGAGAACTCATTAGTATCTGTAAAAACTGCCACATCTTCTTAAGCTGACCAGTTGGGCCATATTTGAGTTTTGCCGGTCCGATTCTGGGCCCTGGGCCTTACTTTGACACCCCTGTGGGAATGCTGCTTCTTTTAAACGACCATCAGCCCGCCCTGGGGTGGGATCCTTGTAATCTCAGATCAATCTTCAGAGGTTTTCTCCATTAATGCTTCCTGTCACGTGACCTCAGGTGTGCTTGAGCCAAAGTATGAATGATGTTTGAGTCACACTAAGAAACCAGATAAGCACTCGAAACGTGTGAGTCGAAGCGTGTGGCGGCAGCAGCGAGGCCGCTGATGATGTGCAGGGTCCTGACGGTGGCTCCACATCAAGCACATTCCAGAGCGGACCAGCTGACAGACGGGGTTTACATTCTGCTTCAACAAAAGCAGCTCCCGTGTTTCTGAGTGAAACCGGGCAGCTCGCGCTCCGGCGGTCCTCCACGCGTCCTTCATCACGCCTGGCTGACGGCTGTTAGTGTTTCCAGAGAGCTTCTGTGTATCTGGGGACAACAAAGTGGTTCCACTTTCCTCGTTATCCTGAGAGCGAACACATCCAAACATCTGGCAGCGTGTCAGACCGACTCAGGGTACAAACACTTCTGCAGCTGATAACAACACAATCCATTAAATCCAACCAACACGACTGCTGCTTCGCTTACATCAAAGCTCAGCTCCTCTGAAACAGCAAACACAGTCTTACATCAACAAAAACACCAGAACCCCCGAGAGGGGACATCCTGAAAAACTAAAGCTCCATTCAACCAATCTGATCCATTCAGGCAGAAATACCAGGAAAGAAATGTGTCCACAGATTTTAGAGGCGGAAAAGGAGCTCCGCCTTCATAACAGACAAGACGATGACAGCACTGAAAAACAGCAGAAAGATCTCTGACGTGTCCTCACAGTCCCAGGTTGAAACGTCCCGTGTCCAGACGGTGCCGTCAGTACGTAACCACCACAAAAACAGTCTTACTTTGTAAAAGAGCAAAACCTCCAAAGGGAACAGGATAAAAAGCCAAATCAGAGGCCCTGATAGGGCCTGAGAGGGCCCGAGAGGACCCGGCAGTTTGGTCTGAGACAGGCTCATCGTCCAGCTGCCAGTCCTTCTGGGTCAAAGTAAGACCAATGTTAGATTAATGCAGCGCTGCTATGTAACTGATGATGTACTGATACTCACAGCCGGACCTTTAGACTGTGATTCATTAAAAATCACAACATTAAAAAATCAGATGATTATGATTCAGCTGATTTAGGAAGCGTTGACTATATTCTGTTTGTTATGTTGATTTCATCATCCCACTGATGTTTGTATTCGTTTATAGTGATTCATTAAGGTATGAAGGAGATATTAATAACAACAAACCATACATGTCTGTGGCACACATGAGCAAAGGTACGCCTTTCAGCACGCTCTCTCCCCCGGTGGTCAAAGGTAAAATATAAGGTGCACTTAAAATCCTTTATTTTCTCAAAAATCGACAGTGCGTCTAATAATGCGGAGCGCCTCATGTATGAATCCTGGTTGTGCGTACTGACCTCGAACCGATTTAATGTGGTTAGAGACAAATGCAGTCGCATGGCAGGATGCTGTAAATGGACCAAACTTCAGCCAGGAGAACGGCTGAGATAATCCATCCACAATACGAGGTTAGTCATTGATATACTGCAGCAACATGGGAACAGAGCCGCTGTGATAGAATACAGCATTAATGAATCGATGGTACAGAAGTGGAGGAAGCAAGAAGAATGAGTGGAGTAGTTTGACTCATCTGTTTTGTTTCGCTTAATGTGCTTTATGGTCCGAAAAATACGGTAACTAAAAATTTATATTATCAAAGCTCCAGAAACCAAAAGGTTTCCGTGTTTTAGAAGCAGTCCGTGTGGAGGGCGCGAAAGCCGGCCCTCCTGCACCTGAGCCAGTTTCCCGTCTGTGTCTGCAGGTACATGGCGATCCTGCACCCGCTGAGGCCTCGTATGAAGCACCAGACGGCGTGCTGCGTGATCCTGACCATCTGGCTCGTCCCCATCTTCATCTCCATCCCGTCTGCCTACATGGCCTCAGAGACGACGTACCCACATGTGGACGGTTGCCCCGATAAGACCTTCTGCGCTCAGATCTGGCCCGTGGACCACCAGGTTTACTACCGCTCTTACTTCCTCCTCGTCTTCGCTCTGGAGTTCGTGGGCCCCGTGTCTGTCATGGCCGTCTGCTACACCCACATCTCCAGAGAGCTGTGGTTTAAAAATGTTCCAGGTTTTCAGACGGTACAGATCCGCAAGAGACTGCAGAAGCGCAGGAGGACCGTGGTGGTGCTGATTCTGGTCCTGGTGGCCTACATCCTGTGCTGGGCGCCGTATTACGGTTTCACCCTGGTGCGGGACTTTTACCCCACCCTTATCTCCACGGACAAGAACTCCCTGGTGGCCTTCTACGTCATCGAGTGCATCGCCATGAGCAACGGGATCATCAACACCCTCTGCTTTGTGAGCGTCCGAAACAGCAGGAAGCAGCTGAATAAGTCCATCAAGTTCCCTCTGAGGCTGGTGAGCTTCGTGGCCACCAAGTGGCTGGATGAAGCTGAGCCGCGGACATCCTCCCTCCGGGTGACGGAGGAGGTGGAGGGCGGCCGGCTGAGGTACTTACCTACTTCTTCTTCTATGGAAGGCACAAAACATCCGGTAAAGCGGCTGCACGCAGAGACTCGGAGCTGAAGTGAGGAGCGAGCTGGTGAGGTGTTTGCTCAGCAGAACTGTGGCTGCTGCCGAGTGTTAGCGACGCTGCATCGTCCATGGAGAGACTTTCTGATCCCGTTTTTGTCGTTTCCAGCTGTTTGTATCTTATGTGGATGAAAATATTATTATTGTTATTATTTACAACACTGAGGCCAGAGACCTGTTTAAACTGGATTGCATTATTAGGGGCGTGGCCTCTCTGACTGACAGGTGGCTGTTGCTGCTAGCGTCACCTGAACTGGACGTCTGCACCATGTTTGTGATGTTGGAGCCTTAAGGAGCATTTTAATGACATCATGTGACCAATAACATGGCTGCTGTGTGGGTAATTGTGGGAAGTTGCTAACTAGCATTAGCTGCAAAGTTATCTAGATATGGTCACCTCCTACGAAGCTGAAGTGAGGCTTCAGGAAGACATGTTGACCACCCCTCAGCGGTCGGGGCCCTCAGTTAAAGTGACATAATCAGAGTTTGGTGCGAGCTCCTTCTGCCCTCACACCAGCAGTTTGGAAGGAGTCCACCACATCTCCTCCTGCCTCTTCTTCTTCTGTGGATTTCAGCCCGACTCCCCGACGTGCTCCTGCTGTTCATAGTAAAACTGTTGGTAATGCAGCAGGCTGTGTGCGCATGCACGATTCTCCGCTCATATTCATGTCAAATAAAGATGCATTTTTAAGCTTGTAATGAAGGAGCAGAGGTGAGAGCTGGAGTGGTGCGTGCTGGTGTTGGTGCAGCTTTCAGAGGCTGTTTGTACCTCGGTGTGCTCTCTGCGTGGGCTGGTTTGATCTTTAGACCATCAGTTCAGCCTCCGCCATCGTTTCCACCCTCATTAGTGCCGATCAGCACACAGCGAAGACCCCGTCACACAGCTCTGTGAAGCCGGTCTCTTATTTATGTTCACGCAGCAGCTTCAGACGCACAGACTCAAAGTTCGCCAGCGTCCTCTGTAGCAGCATCGAGGGAGTTTATACTGAAATCAATACTGCCTGTTCTTCCTCACATCACAGGGTTTCTGACCTTTCTCTGGTGTGTGTGTGCAGCGCTGTCTCACAGGTTTGATCTGCATATTTGTAATGCTGCTGTTGTATAATCTGCTTAGCAACGATGAACGCGAACCTGAAGAGAACAATGACTCGCTACAGTCCCTTCCTGCTGATTTGCATTGTGTGCCCATGTTAGGGTTCACTCACATGGTTGTAAGTGTTTTAATATTCATTGCGTTGCAAATAAAAAGCGCCTGAAATGGACGAAGCAAACACGTACAGCTCTGTGAAAACGAACTGCCTCTCTTCTTAAATCATGAACGACCTGGAGCTAAGTCCAGCTTCACTGCCAGGCCTGGTTTAAGTCCAGACTTTGAGCCAATCAGAGGTGGAGCTGCTGGTTCCTGCAGAGCAGCCAGACCGTCACGCGACCACCACCCTGGCTGCTGCTGCTGGGATGTTTCTGGATGAAACGCAGAAAGTTCAGCTTCTGTCTCGTCAGCCCTCAGAATATTATCCTCCAGATGTTTGTTGGCAGATGTGCGACGAGACTTTGTGATCTTCTTGGTCAGCAGTGGTTTCTGCTTGGACTCTCCCATCTTTGCCCCGCCTCTTTCTTACTGTTGACCTCTGACCTTATCTGAGCCAGGTGAGTCTGCAGGTCTGCAGATGTTAATCTGGGCTCTTCTGCGACCTCCACAGCCTGAGAAATGTTTCTGTAACCCTCTCAGGCTGATGATGTCACGGACTTTGTCTTACTCGGCGATGTCAGTTATCACAAACAGCTGATTGCAGTTCTTGCTGCCAATGATGACACAACCAGTTATTAGCTTTAAGAGGCGACGACATCACAGGGCAGCGAGGTTTGGAAAGCTTTTGTTCCCCTAATAAACTAAATCATCGTGTAATAACTGCATTTTGTGTTTATGCGGATTATCTTTGTGAGATATTATAAAGAGCAGAGATGTTTCAGGCTCACCGACACAGCGAGGAGCTTCTCGTAAACTGAGTCTGAAGTCATATCCTGATGTTTTCCCCTCAAACTGTCCTCATCAAACAGTGTTGAGGTCAGTCTGAATACACTCAATGACCAAATGTTTCCATCGATGATTTTCTTTCATGCCCACGACAAAGCCGGGATTCATCGGCTCAGACTGGACATCTCATTCCCCACAGCCCGACTCCCAGCATCCGTACTGGTGCCTGTGTATAAGCTCAGTGTAGGCGCGCCGTCATCACAGCTGAACAAATACTTGCTTTCTGTGCGTTAGACTACGATCGTTAAAAGAAACCAAAAACTGTCATAAAAACACATTTTTGTTCTGTCAGATTAGCAAAGAACATTTAGAGACCCTCCCCTCAGGATGACACCTGCACAGGTGACCAGCGGGCTGCAAAACACAAAACACTCCACAGCTCTGCCGGGCCAGCCAAACATCAGGGGCTGAGCTTCCTAATCAATCAAATGGACTTCCTGTCGCAGCTGTGACAGAAGGAAGAAAGGAGACGCCGCTTTGTTTTTGATGTATTTAATAGAAAAACAGTCCAGGAATCAGTGAGCTGATAAAAACGGTTCACCTTCCTCTCTGAGCGACTCACCTGCGGCCAACAGCACAGACTCTATTTACAAAATAAAAGCAGCTCAGAGAGCGCCACGGCTCAGCTGTCAGGTCGCTGCTCGGACCCTCTGTGGAGGACGCCGTCTCCACAGAGGGTCGTCTTACCAGAATGAATCACTCGCTTCATTTTAAAGCTGCTTCAAAATAAAACTGAGCCGAGCGCGTCCACTTTGGACGGCCTCAGGTCGACTTCTCACAGGTGACTTTACAGGTAAACTCGGGGAAATCCAGAACTTTTTTTTATTTTAGTGTTACTTATTTTAATGTTTGGTGGGCCTCACACGTGCTCCACCCCCACAGCCAGAAATAATCCCTTTCACATTAAAAGTCCTTTTAGTGGAAGAAGACACCTGCTGTTTCTTCTTCGTGACACTACAGATATATGAAGACTTTTTCACATTAAAATGAAAACAATGAGACTTATTTTGAAAAAGTGCAAAGACTTTCTCTGTTTTTCACATTAAAAGCAAAACATAGGCATATATTTGAAAGCCTAAATATGAGTTTTACTCTGAAAAAACCTGGATGCACCTCAGCACTAATCACAAGTAGAGCAAACTGAAACATGATGGCAGAAATAATAGTTTTACGTTTTAATCCACGTGTTTCTCCTTTGCTGTGCTCCTGATTGATGCAATCCAAGTTTGACAGGCTGCAAGACTTTTAATTTGAAAAAACACCTGGATGTTCCTCACCACAGCAAAGAAGAAAATGGAAATACAACAAAAAAATGTAAATATGTTTTTTCCTTGTTATCTCACTCCTTATTCACAAAGACTTCCTGATGTTATTTCCACATTAAAAGTCTGTAAAGGGAAGACTTTGAGACTTTTAATGTGAAACAACACGAGGACGTGTCTTATCCAACATGACGAGTACCATAAAGTAAAAACAAAAGGAATCAGAAAGCAGAAATCATGTGTTCATACTCGTTTCTTCTTTGCTGAATATATTAACAGATGTTTTTCACATTAAAAGCCTCTCTACAAAAGGCTGCCGAACATTTAATGTGAAAAACCACACAGGTATGGTTTAAAATCAATCAGGACACAAAGATGAAAGAACAGCCTCTCATCTGTCTCTAATGCAGATGGAGCGGGTTTGATATTTTCGTTTGTAGAGGATGACGTCATCAAACACGGCGTTCTGGTCTGGTGAGCCCTCAGCGAGGGGCAGGGCAGGTTTCTGCTTACTTCCTCCTCTTCAGGAAGGCCGTAGCCTCTCTCTGCAGGCCTTTGATGTCCTCCTTACCGCTGTCGTCTGAGTCAGGAGGGACGTAGTCCGAGTCATCGCCCGCGTCCTCGCTGTCGTCATTAATGAAGCTGTCCTCGTACTCGTCCTCGTCGTCAGCGGGAGTCTTTTTGGCGACGTGGCGAGCTGTGGGGGGATTTACTGCGAGTGAGTCAGAGAATGAAGTGGCCGAGATTTAGTTTCTGTTTCTAATTTTCAGACCCTTTTATTTATCACCTGTTGTTATTTACTTCCACCTGTACGACACAAATGTGTGTGTGTCCATGAGCGTACCTGGTTTCTTTGTGTGTTTGTATTCCTTCCTGTGCAGGGGGTTTTTCCTGCAGAGGAAACAAAGTTCACGTCAGAATAAAGTCGAGCGATGCAGGTCAGACGATGTTTCCTGACAGCCGTCCGTCTGCAGCGTCGAGTTAAAAATGCTCGAATTACTCATCGCAGAAACTGCAGCGAGCACGGAGACAGCGAGCCAAGTGTCAACCAAACAAATGCTGCTCTGAGGAACACGAATCGCATCAGTGTGTGTGTGTGTGT